CGGTGACTGCTGCGATAAGTATTTTAATTAGCACTAGGTACACTATCACACTAGGTAGACTATGATAATGTACTGCATTAGGTACACTAAATCCATTTTACATAAAACGGTGACTGCTGCGATAAGTATTTTAATTAGAGATTTACTCATTATATATTATATTTTTGACAACCAAATGAAGAGTAACTATACCTGTTCATATTCACTAAGGGCAAACAACAAAGAGCTTCTTTCTGCATGTAAAACTGCTGTGTTGACATGTTCTCCTCTGTTCCTTAGTTTTTGTACCAATTCTGTTGCACTTTCAAATGCATGCTTCGCTTCAGTGAATTTACAGTACGAAGAGCACACCCGTAATAACCTGTCAATCAAAATAATAATAATAATATCATCATCATAATATATTATTGTCATTGTTTGCATAGCTGTCAATCCTCCCGGATTATCCGGGAGTCTCCAGAATTTAAACCTCGTCTCCCGGTCTCCTGGATAAAAATTGAAATCTCCCAGATAATCGTCAAACTTGTAAAAATATGGTCATGAATTAATGTAAGACATACCCAAGATATGACTGCTTATATATATGAAAAAGATATTTTTTTGAATAATGAGCTTATTTGTAAGTACACTTACTTACGACATATCATTTTCTTTGTTCAATGATTGAAAATTGGATTTCACCACAGGAAGCCCAAATCGAAACAATTTATGTTAGCATGATTTCACGAATCTCTAGAATTGAAACGTCACAGGGTTGACAGCTATGTGTTTGCAACAAAATTAACCAATGTCAAGCATATTGAATGCATTGGAGAATGGAAAGAATGTTGTGTCAGGAAATCCAGGAATTGTCAGGAATTGTCCTGCCCMTGTCACATGACYTGATTTATTATGWAGGCACTTACTTTGTTAGACATTTAAGAGCTATTCTACAGTCACTTGGATTTCGTATATCGCACAAYGATAAACAAGATCGATAAACTTTTTCTGCTGCTACATCCCAGCCTGTCTCGGACAAAAACCCACCTAAAAAATCAAATCAAATTGAATCAAACTCAGAACCAGTCATGTTTCCTYCWTGAAAAMAAAATGATGGAAAGTATTATGAAAACATATCATCTTCAACAGGTTCTCTGCATTATATTAAAAGCTATCAATAAAATCCACTGAATCAAAGCAAGATAAATTGGGAACATTTCAAAGGTATTGTGAATCTTGTCAGACATCTTGTATCAATTCAAAGGCACAGTCAAATCAAGACGGTACGCTGAAYCTCATGCAATTGACTTACCAACTAACCAACCAATTGTAAGAAGTGTTTCATACTCTGATGAGTTTTTATAATTTTTTAATGACACTTTACATCGTTTAGAAAATTCATCAGACAGTATTTGTGGTAAATTGTATCCTCTATCAACTAAYGTTTGGAAAGGACAATATAGTTTGATTCTGAAATGAAAAAATAGATATACAAACCATGTAATGTAACATTTATWATGAAGTAATAATAAATTATTGATAAAAATTTAGATTAAAATATTTCTGTGTAAAGATTATCAATATGGAATGTGCAGAGAAATCATTTGCTTAATCAAAGAACAACAATAAATATTTTTTGTTTTTCTTTAATTAAAATATTCAATAAACTTCCATAACAATCAAGCTCTGTGCTGAATAAAAAACAGTGCTACACATAATCAAAGTTGAACAACTGCATGTATCAACAATTCTAATAGTTATGTAAAAAGATAAATTTAACACCGTAACTCCGACGAAGGATTAACATCCGAAACGTCAGTAAGTTATTCCACATACTTTTTTACGGTGTTAAATTTATCTTTTTACATAACTGTTTCTTTAGAAACACCGACGCAGCTCACACTAGTTTACCGCTAGTTCCCACCATTTAACAATTCTAATACTTCAACAATAATTGGTTTATGCCRAAAAACTATGAGAATAACAAAAATCTTTTATAAATAAAAACAATTTATGGAGTACAAGAGATGGAGATTTTTTTAAGATTTGTGAAATTTGTATTCTCCATCAAGCACTTATGAGTTATCACATGAAAGTGTGATAAGATAGTACATGTATCTCTCTACTAGACAGTATAAATATAATGTTACACAATGAGAGCAATGTACAATGCRTTACTATTAGAACAAATAGCACCATAAAACTCGATTTTCACACTATTTCTAGTAAAGAATTGTTCAGTTTCCTATCTGTACCGGYTACAAATCCCGCAAGTAAACCGCCATAAGCTTCTTAAGGTAAACAATGGCCAATTATTTATACAGAACCCTTATCCAATTTCGTTGTGCAATGAGTTCCCAGAAAATAAACACATAAATTACGAACAGCCCGGCGAGTAATATTTATATCARTGGTCAACAATTTGTTCCATGGTCCACTTGAGAGAGTAAAATATTGATTATTTACTTAAACGATATAAATGCAAAGAAAAACAAGGCCAGCGCTGACAGAATATTATCAAAAGAAAACTTTGCAGGATAACATGTTTGTCAAATTTATTGTGTTTGCATTCTTACCTTTTGTCGCCTGCTCGCAAAGCCTTTGCAAATACTTCAAGGTTGAGAATCTCCTTGGCTAGAGTTTTCAGTTCACCATCTTCAAAAAGCTAACAAGGGGAACAAGCGTTACTTTGGCAATGACGCGATAAACCCAAAGTAAATACAGARAATTCTTAAGGATAACTGGTAAGAATTCTGCTAGAAAAATAGCGAAAATCACGTACCTGGTGATAAACATCGCATTGWATGACGTCTGGAAGAAATCTGAATTCAGTTCTAAATAAATGTTGTAGACGTACTGCATTTAGGAGAGCTAAATCGTATAAAGTTCCAACACGGCTCTCTTGGACATCGTCCGCCATGTTTACATCATGAAGGAATATCCCAGAAGGCATTGCGAGACCAAGTGATGTCTTCCGGTCCGTCCGTACAACAGGAATCCCACTCGTCGGGTAGATTCAAACCGGATCTCTCACGTGCAAATTTCAATGCAAATTGCCTAAAAATGTCCTCGTTACCATTCTATTTACAGCTAACTTAGTACGAGTGAGGTTTGGGATCCAAGTCACTCTGATTATACGGGGGCTGGCCCTATATCTCTTAAATAAAACAAGATATATTCTTTTTCCAATCTTTTCCCTTTCAATGCCCTCTCCTAAAACTTACGGAGATACAACACTGTTATTTGTACTTTTATGGTACAAAATAAAACAATTAGTGTGATAGTTTAGTTTTGTGATTACGAAATTTTTTGTCAGTGATCTCAGCCGACCGCCATCTTTTCCGCATCTACTTGTAACTTGCGCCTCCCCTCCCCAGAGAGATAATTATTGCACAATCCCTAAGAATAGCGTGTGCAATTTAAATCTACTATGCAAATAACTATTCCTAATTGACACTTGATCCTGACCTACGAATGGAAGATGAGCCAAAGTTCATTGAAACAGGTGTATACATTCACCGGTAATTTAGTGTAGTTTTCCGCGTAACGTTTACAATTCTAATCAGAAACTGTCCATTTCACAAGCTATACCACCACTGAAAAGTTCCTAAAATAGTGAAATAGTCGAATTTGGAAAGAAATTTATTAAAGAAAAGAAGAAATTTATTAAAGAAATTTTGCAAAGACAATGTTTTTTCGGTTGTCATTTTTTTCAACTAAGGCACAACTAAGGTTTTGGTGAAATTTCGTGAGTTTTCGGGCCGGCTGCATCATATTCTTAGAACTTTACTGATTTYGAATTTGAAAGTACGAAACCGAATCGAAGCCTTCGGAGCACACAAGTGTKTAGAACAAAGGGCAGTGCGTGGCATCTCTCAATGAATCCCTTAATTATAAATCAATCTCTTAATTATCAAGTTCATGGAAAATCCTTTAATCTTAATTTCAGACTACACTCTATTTCTGTTATCAGCATCCTAACAAGAAGATGATAGATACGAAATGAATGTTGATGAATATTTATAATTCATCCATTTGGTCCTGTAAATAAAATATATGTTTGATTCAAAACAACAACTCAATATTGCAAGAGTATTTGGTTCATTTGATTTTTTTTTGAGATTTTTTATTTTAAATTTAGACGAGTGGAAACACGCTCTTGACAGCCATTGCCATATTATAATATTTTCTAGTCGACCTTTCTTGAGGTACCRTTYATCACGCAGGGATGACACAGATTACAAGAAAAGGTATTGGTGAATTTTCAGGGAAACTAAAGTCACAAAAAGACGAAATTATTTTTAGATAAACTGGACGTAATTAGTATTTTAAAAGCAGTTATATTAGTCAGCAAGGGACTTTATTTGTTTCCGCAAGAAGGGTGATATTTACACTTTGATTAATTGGTTCGACTTCTTCGTTTTTGGCAGAAAATATCACACTTGGTTCTTTCTGGCTTGTTGTTTCTCTAAACACAGAAACTCTGTTGCTTGTTCTTGCCAATTGAAATAGTAATATAAACGCTTTTCGAAAATTAGGAACTCTCCATGCGTACAACACGGGGTTTACTCCAGATGAAAAGAAACCGAGGACTAACGTAACGTCTCGAGCCAATCTAATTTCGTCGCTGYCTCTGCAGCTCGGGCAGAAAACCAGTGTAAAATCTGTGATTACAAATGGACACCAAGCAACAAGAAAGACAATTAACATGATGAATACTGTTGTTGAAATTCTCTTTTCTCTTTCGGCTGCCTTCCTGGAAAAGGATGCTTTGCTGGTGTCGGTTAGGTTTTTAAAATTTCGTGTTTTTTCTCTTAATATCTTCAGCAAACCATAATAAGAAAACAGCATGAAAACGGTTGGAGTCAAAATCCCCAGTCCATAGAGGTAAACTTGAAAAMCAGCGGTTTGCCATCCAATGATAGGCATTAAAGCAAAGTGAGTTGAGAAACACCAAATACACACAAGTGAAATACGGGCTCTGTACTTCGTAACTATGACTTTATATCGAAAAGGTCTACTCACCGCTATATATCTATCGACCATAAGAGCAGCAATGGTGACGATAGAACAAACACATGAGATTATTGCAGTAATGTAAAAAGAAAATAAGATTCGTTGGTCGGGATTCCAGTTTGACGAAGCGTTAAGTGGCTCCACTCCAAGTCCAACTAAAATATCCGCCACACTCAGATTGATTACAAAATGGTTAGATATCGTTCTTAGCTTTTTCCCMGGATCTTTAACATAGACGATACACACCAAAGTATTGCCAACTACAGTATATATACTTAGGAAGATTAAAATGACTGCTATTGTTAAATTCGACYTGAGGAAATAACCTGGAAAGAACATGACATAGGGCTCCATGGCTTGACCGTGCTTCGTTTTGTRTTACAACCTCTTATCATCCAATATCTTTAATAGTCGAACAGTGGCCTTCTCCCACGGAGATGTTTAGTAAACAGTAGGAGATTTTTTTCAATTAATCTCAGCTAGGCCGATAGCATATTAATCGGATAGAACTCCCAAAGCCACGCCAAACATTCAAAGTAGTTTGTCAGATGAAAAGTGGAAGAAAGAGTCGATAGTGCCATACCGGACCCTATCAATGCTATCATGTTGAATCTAATGTCAATCAACACAACAGTTCATTTCATTGAGAGCTGCTCTCAGAGAGACTTTTACCTCATTCGATCGAGCTTTCAAAAAATCAAAGTGTTGAAAATCATCAAAGAAGCTTTAACTCTTGAAGGGAGATTACAAATATTTGCTAATCATTTCAAGCGCCTGAAGCGTGCTAATGGCCGTTGTCATGGTTTCATTTGCTCACCTTTTTTCCTTGTAAAATTTCCATTTTTCATTAAAAACTTCGGTGTATTTCATGTTGTTTGCTMTAAACACCATATCAAAATGATCATTTTATATAAAAACATATTTAAATACGCCTTGTACTTTTCGTTTTAAAGCCGGCTTAACTCTTTTGAATTCAAGGCTTTTTAGATATATTTGCCGACAGAAAGTCTATGCATTCAGGGGTCTTCAACTACATCTTTTTCTTATTACCCTTTGTAATTAAAAGTGAAAGCTGTCGTGGGTTTGGCAGTATGAAAAGCCAAACAGTACTCATTTAGAAGGTGCTAATTGAAATTCCTAACCCTAAAATCTTATATTTACAACAAAGATTTAGCCATTGATCACATAACGAAATAATAAAAAAATAATACAATATAAAAATGTGCTACTTCATACAACAAAAGAAAATCAAGACTCTTTTAACACAATACAACTTGATTTTTTTCTTGTTTTCTTTTGCGAATATAAAATACAAATATAACCAATTCCTTGACAAAACCTGTAATATTTTGATGGCCAAGTCAAAGCCGTGAAAATTTACACTGAATAACTTTGCAATKGTTTACTCTTTATTGAAACATTAAAAATCACCTTAAAAACTRAAAAGGCACAGCTATTGTTTTATTTAAAAAAGGTGAAAAGTTTAAGAATATATTTTAGCAACGTATTTAATTTTAATTAAGTCAGCGAACGACTCAAAAAAACTGTGTTGATTATAATTTTTAATTGGTGCATTTTCAGAATGGCACATTGCAAAAGTCATATCGTGTCAGATCGTCAAGATCTGGTGATTATATATCTATCATGAAATAAGGAGATCAATTTAGTGAAAGGAACTCTCATTATTGGCAAAGTATCACAAGACTGTCGGTTCCTTTCTATTAATTATGGTTGGATCATCAGAGATGGATATCTTCATAACTAAATCCCTCCCTTTTCTAAGTTTTACAACGACTTGCGAAATTCTGGAAATCGCGAACCACGAAGTACTCAYTAACGAGTTTATTTAATTTTGATTTTTTAATGGCTTCAGTACAAGATTCATCAGTTGAAAACGAATATTTTCCAATCATRCAGAATTTCAACTTTTTCAAAGCCTACGGCTTTATATGTACCCATGGGTCATGATCTGATATCCTATTACTAGAGTAGCCAATCACAGCGCACGATTGCTGATACTCAYTAATAATAATTCCTCTTATCCCTTTTAGAAAACAATACAGGAACATTGKCATCTCCATATTTTTATCACATTTTCAAAAGATTACTATTGGCCGTTCGCTTATCAAATGAATGTAAGTAGATTGATAAGAATCAGCAAATATTGACAAAGATATCATCTTCATCACTACTTGAAGAATATCGCGTTGTAATTATTGAACATTATTATGTCTTTATCTTTTATTCATTAAATTATGTTTTATCGGCTTCAAACTCAATGGCCTGCTGGGTTTAGTTCAGCTTTCATCTAGCTTTGTTTTCGCTTACAGCACATATACCTAAAAAAAATCTCACGATTCTAATGAAGTAAACTTTTCAAATTTTGTAAACCGAAGATTGTCATTTCTAGTAGATACATAGAGGATATTACATAGGTGCACGCAGATATACGGATTTCATCTTCGAGTGTTGAAAAGTGAGCGTAGCGAACGAGTAAGAGATTGTCAACACGAGAAGATAGAATTCTACCCTGGTCCCAGAGATTTTCTTTTCTCTTCTTTTATAGATGTTTTTTATCGTATTTTTATCTTTGCTTTTTAAATTTAACAAAGACAAAAATACGATAAAAAACATCTATAAAAGAAGAGAAAAGAAAACCTCTGGGACAAGGGTAATAAAATTCGTATCTCCAAGCGACTATGCAATATTCTGTTTATCATATAATTACATATTAAAGCAAATTATGTCGTAAAATAACTTTTTTCTTACTTCCACTATATAKAGAAACCTCGAATGTGTTTTTTCACTAGTGAAAATATCAATTTTACGAAATGGAGAAATATAGGTATTTCATAGATAATTATATGATAAATACATATACTATTTAAATTTGAGTCAAAAACGAAGCAAAACTTTGCCCGAGTTGGATTTGATAGTAAATATAGAACGCCTTTTTCACACTCGTGAAAAAACATAATATTTAATTTTGGTCGTRAAATTCATATAAATGTTTATGTCCTTTAACCAGAAATATAGATCCATTTCCTATTCATGAGAAAAATATCTTTGATAAGATAGCATACTTCATTACTGCAGCCTATCGAGATAGTGACACTTAAACCAACCCACGACTGAGCYCATCAGACTAGCAAATAAACCAGAGGGGTATTCCTGGTTTTGACAACAATCTTGTTGCCAGACTATTTTTGGAACGACGTTTGTTTTGACAATAAAATGTGGAATGTTTTCCCCCTACTCATCAAGGCCTGTAAAGTTCCGGTTTGAAGTGAAAAAATAACTTTGGCATTTCCATCGGAGTTGTCTCTTATCTTTGCCTGGGGACCAAAAGAAGTTTTTACGAGATCCGGCTTGAAACAAGGGCCTGATTATTGTTGAATAACACAAGATAAAATTGATCTACAAATTAAATTATTTAGTAGTGGAAAATAAACTTGCTTTGGCTGATGRTCAGTTTCATCTTTAGTTGACAACGAGGAATACACGACAGAAAATTGAGAAAATGTACAATTCAAACAAATATCACGGAAAATTTTCATTTGAATGGAAAAAACAGCGTTTCCTTGCATCGCGGTCGAAAAGTATCGATTTTCACAACTTCATTACGTCACTCAACATGGTGACGTGTATTTCCTATGCCTCCGCTGACTCGCTGATCGTATATTCAAAGCGGATGACCACTGTCTTATTTGACAACATGCTCTCTTGGCAAAAACGCTGTTTAAAATAACCAAAAAGCACGCCAATATAATAACCGGTAATATTTGTATTTTTTCATTGAGACTAACTTTGGCCAAGGTTCAAATTTTTTGGAAGCACAGTGTTGTAAATAGGAAACGCATGTTGTTGTCTTTTCGTGCTTTCAGTTTGTTTTCGGCAATGCGTTCRCAGTCACTCGCTCTGAATTGCAAAAAGGGTAAATTTTATTTTTTCCAGAATCCTTTGCRGTCTTGAAGCCCTCACGTTAAATTTATTAGCAGTGAAAAATTCGGGAAATTTCTCCCAGAATACTAGTATGGTGTTGTCACTTAACGAGTTTCCCCAGTCAGTGGATTTATAGATCTTTATATCCTACAAAAACAGATCAAATCAAGGTCATAGTAAGGCAAAGTGTACATTCTATTCTGGGCATAGCATTGTTAACAGTTTGAAATTTATTAATAATAACATACGAAACGAATAAAAAATCAAAACTTATTGCGGTTAGCATGTTAGCTTCATATGTTTCTTCTGCGGACAACAACAAAAAATACCCTTCTATTTGATTATGAGGCGAAAATTCGATGACATGGAATTTGGAATATCCTTGTGGCGACCTCTGTATTAGAAACGTAATCAGTTTTCAATACAGAATTGTTTTTTTCCAACTTGGTTATTTAGCGCACAGACAAGAAACTATTGTTGATCACAATTACATTTGAAAACCAGAAAAAAATAATTTCATTTCTAAGCAAATAATGAAATGAAACTAACCTAAGAGTGTTTTAGCATAACCCACAACTTTTTCACTTGTGCTTAAAATTAGCCGTAATATTGTTTTTTTTTTTTGCCGGTATATTTCTTCTACTAATGGTAAAAAACTTAATAACATACATCTGTCAAAATGTTTCTTATTAAAACACAACCATCTTCATAAATCAACTTCTTGTCTAGTGTTCGTTTCAAATCAAAAAGCTTTGCAGCTTAGCCGGGCGATCGGTCAAAAACGCAGTAATTGGCGGTTGGGCTTTGTGATTAGGAATGTGTAGTATATTAGATCTAGATGATCAGAACTGAAATCGTAAGAATGAAAAACTGCGTGGTGATCATTACCTTTTTGGAGCTAATAACTCTCTGAGCGCATGCAGGCTATGGTTTTCTATGGTCAAAATCCTTGACGGAAAGATTTAACTACCTTTTGTTGCTCGTATGGGCTCCCTTGTTATTGACAAGTTCGAGTCTGGTCCAGACTCGTACCCAGACTTCGCTTTTACCTCATGCTCTTCCAGATGCATCGCGCAAGAAAGGCGACTGGGTACCATTCTAGTCAGAACGGCCATTTTGGATGCTAAAGCAAAGAAATTTTTTCCTCACATTTCCATGAAAAATATCTTTCTTGTAGTAAAACATCAACATCACCCCTGTATGGTGATCCAAGATGGTTGCCTTCATATGCTGGGCAAAATAGTACGTTTTCTCTTCGCAACTGAGATGTAGCATCTAAACATTATTGTTCAATGCCCGGCAAAAAAGCAAATGAAATCGGACAAGCCTTACGTAAAAATCAACGAAACGAAAGTCTTTAAAAAGATGTTAACAAGAGAATTCCTCACATGCACGTATTATTGACAACCGCTGAAGGAAAAATCTAATCTTTATAAATACAATCCAGTTGCTTGCTTTATCGTCATTCACATAGTGCTCACTTCGATCAGCTTTATAAACTATTGAAGATAATTATTCAGTTTTTCAATAAATAATGTGACAAAACTACTAGAAAACTGTCACTAGAATAATTTAAATTTCTAAAATGTTCGAGTGACTCTTTTAAATAGTCTTATGAAATACGAATAATTGTTCAAAATTCGAACGAAACCCTGAGATTATAACCAGGATATTCGTCGTCTTGAARTTAGTGGCTTTACCTTTTCGGAATCGAATATAAAAATGGCATAAGTCTTTATCTCTGTGGGATTTCTTCGCCCAGCATGTCACACCAGCGGACTCAATTGAGCGAATATATGTCTCTCCTATCTCTATCTGAGATAAAGTTTGGCTTGCAAGATTCTCAGATTCACGCCTATTTTCGTAGAGAAATAGATCATTTATACTTTAGTGCAATAGGACTAATTAAAAAACAGACACTCAGCCTGGATGTTATTCATTGACTTTGTAAGGGATTCTTTTTGAACCAAAGTATAAACGTTCAATTTCTTTAGGACAATGTTTTTGTAATTAGTTGTACTCCGAGAAATTCATGTTATGTCTTTTATAAGAAGCAGTCTTTTCCACGCATCTTGGTAGACTGACGTAGTGAATCTTGCAACTTTTGATGTTCTTCAATATTTCTTTTGGTAAAGAAATCAGTATTCTTCTTTGGATAAAGCACTTTTTTTGTRAACAGATTTGTAGAATTCTTTATATTGTCGATTACTGAATCGTTTGTTTGCGCCGTCTAATGGTTCCAGCCCATAAGTACTGATGAATCAACGAAACAGCTGTTGACCAAACATATCTTGACATTTTGGCTAATTTCAAAATAATCGTCGAATCAAATCTTTGTTTCGGCAGCTTTATGATGATCATCTGAGTGACTTGTTTCGTCTATTTCTTGTAATGCTCCAAATTTCATCGACCCATTCTTCTTATGCGGCGCGGGCGAGTGATGGAAGTTATCTTGACGTCTTCGTAAGGGGTCTGGAGTCGAGTGAGCTGATCGCAATTCCCGTTCAAGGATCTTTCTTTCCAAAWATGGTGACTTAATATTGCATGATTGGTTCAGGCTGCGGAACGATATAGCTGCAGATACTGCTGYTGGTTCAAGTTTAGCATTGTTTAACTTTTCTTCTCGCTCTCTTCTGGTCATTTCTTCTTTGTAATAGTATTCAAAGTTTGATACTATGACGGGTACTGGTAGTGCTATTGCCAACACTCCAGATAACGCACAGAGAGCACCAACAAGTTTACCTGTCAAAACAAACAAGTRAAACCGGTTTATACGATTTACTTTCAAATCTAATTACACTGAAATCTTGTAGGAGCAAAAGATATACTAGCACCCTATGTTTCTGGACCCGCTTGGCTTCTTTGTACCCATAGTATATGTGAATCTTTCATGTGAAAAAATGCGTGCGCAGAGAACATGCATCCAGAKGAAATGTTTGCGAGCTCATRTTCATCYAGATACGTGTGGATAAGTAGAAACTAGCCACTAATGAAGAATACAGCAGTTTATAGCACAGGAATTCCATACTAAAAACAGCTGCGAAGCACTTTTGAGATTTGCCGTTCATGAGACAGGTCGGTGCTTAAGATAGCTAACCTAGCAATACTTTGTATAGTCTTAGGTTTGATTGCAATGAAAAGCCAAGGATTTGTGAAATTTTTCTGAGTCATTCAAAAGGGACTTGTATGCTTTACCTGACATTGCAAAGAAAAAAACGATGGAACGATTGCGGTGGGTATTGTTCTAACGCACACGGGGACTACAATGACTAATCACCTATTGGATGGGCTGCCTGTGTATTAGCCAACTTACCTGCCAATGTCTGTGGTGCAATATCACCATACCCAACAGTTGTCATGGTAACAACAGCCCACCAGAAGCTGTGAGGAATACTGGCAAATTGCGAGTTGTCTTTGTACTCAGCGTAATACGCYGCGCTTGCAAACAATATCACTCCCATCAGTAGAAACAAAAACAGCATCAACAGTTCATTCAAACTAGAATGCAGAGTTTTCCCAAGAATATACAGACCTCTTGAATGTCGAGAAAGTTTAAAGATTCTTGCTACACGAATCACACGGATCACTCTCAAGACGTCAATGCTTCCACCATGACCGTGCAGGGCCTTGGTGACGTAAAATGGAAGAATTGAAAGAAAGTCCAGAATGTTGAGAAACGTCTTGACGAATTGGACTTTATTTGGACAGACGATGAATCGAATGATGAGTTCAAGCGTGAACCACATTGTGCAAAAGACATTCAATCCATTACATATGTCGACTCTGATTTTTGGACCGTCCACCTTCGTTCTTGTTCCGTTCACTTTGACGTACTTATAAGTGTCGTCCATGGAAGGGAGGGTTTCGATACAAAATACCAGTATAGAAAGAACAATGATTGACAAAGACCAAATYGCTAAGACTTTGGCAAAATTTGAAGAGTTCGGGTTTTCAAAAGTCACCCAAATTGTTTTCATGACCTTGTTGTGGGGAAGTTCTTCCTTTTTTTCGTCTTCTATCGCATCGAGTTGCCTTTTCATTTCTTCTTCATTGCGAGTCTGAATTACATCWGTTAGCTCAAAGAATTCGATTTCTTCAAGAAAGATATGTTCTGGGACGTTGAGAGGTCGTTCCAAGATACCGTTTGACTGATAATAATACAATATTGCTGTAAATGAGCTTCTGTGCCGTTCAAAGAAATATTCATCCTTTAAWGGATCGTAGTAATATTGTCTCTTTTCTGTCGACCCTAGCAAGGTATTAGGGAACTGGTCTAGTGTGTGTTCGTAAGTTTCGAACTTCTTTCCTCCAATGTTGATAATAACAATTTTTTCTTCCCCTGCAGAAGGTTGTACAACGTTAGTCATCCATTCTTTAGTAGCCATATGACTTGGCCGTCTGGCTGCAAGAGCAGCTGTTGCTTGTACTGCCATGGCTTAAGACTACTCCACAGTAAGCAAACAGCAGCACCGACTAGTCCACGCACTTCAAAGTGTTTCGATGAGTGTCGTTGTCATTGATCTCAGCCATTTCCCATTAAATCCTACCAAAGAAAAGAGAAAACCGTGACGTTAAAATCATGATCTTGGAAATACGAGCGTTCAAACATTGTGAAAAAGTATATGAATTTGCAAAGGGCTAAGATATTTTTAAAGAGTCAGTTTCGAAGAAAAGCTTAAAAAGGCGATCAGCGTTATTTAATTTTTTATCCATCTGAATAAGCAAGCGATTATCTTCACCCAGTTTCATCAGTTTTTGCTCGAATATCATGGAAAACAAAAGAGAACTCACTTTCTTCATCATAACGGTCTCYTCATCATGGCARCCAAGTAGAATGAGYCGAACATACAACGCGTTCGACTATCAACCTCAGCAAACATTTGACTCAAATAACAACCTTCTTTTTGCAATTCAGATGTGTTATAACCACAGTTGATTTAATCGCTTTTTTATCTGGTTTAGTCAATCRAAAAACTTAGTAAAACACCCKGACAAAATGCATGAAAATCCCATCTGCCAAAAACACTACACCTCCTTTCTACTCCTCTAAGGAATGTTRACAAACCAGCTTTATACTTGACACTTTATTCCGAGTATAAAGCGACGACTCAAAAGGTTTATATTATATACAAACAGTAGCGGAAAATTTCGAGTCATGTTTTATATATTGATGACGTAGTAAGGCTTGTTATCAAAAAACCTTMACATTTTTATTGGAGTCAGTTTGTATAGTGCATGATTTGAAAATTATTGACCTGCCATTTTCTCTTACTTTTATAAACCATTTTAACTGGGATATAACATTTCAAAGTAATTCTCATTGCTATTTRTTAAACTACAATATGATCAGTATTTGAATGTTAAGTACCTTTTAGAAATGGCAGAAAATACGAACAGGTCAGGAATAGCGATGGATTAATTTTTACAGGATAAAATGTTATTGAATTCCTTCATAGTTAATACATAATGCCAGCGATATTCTGCGTTTCAACCTCAAATTGCAGAGTAAAGCGATAAAAATAATTAGTTATTTATAGATAGTTCTTGTAATATTCAGTGCAATTAATATTGAATGAAACTTAGCAATATCAAACGATGGTTTTCACGAACAAAATGTGCGACTTTTTGGGAGAATGCAGATCCGAAAACTACCAATAATATTCATATGATAGAACATTTTTATTCCTTTTTACAGCAAACCGCGTTTGAGCTTGTTGGGAGTTGTGAATATGCACTTCACGGTTAAATCTTTAAAATGACTATGAAACGATTRAATGGACCTGTTTAAGTATTTTTAAAGCAACATTTATGTTAATAACTAGTACTTTTATCAATGCATAAAGCACCGTGGACCATTAAATTCAATAGAATTACGGTATTTTTTGTACTGAACTAAGCGAGTTCGACGACGTTAAATAAAGTAATTATCATCATTTATAAACATAACGTAAAATAAGTGAAAAAAGRTACCTCTATTTGTAGACTTTCCCGAGAGACAATACACAGTAGTTACAGAGGCTCATTCAAGCATAATTTGTCCTATGAAAGACGAAATAAAGAGGAGGGCTGGACACTAGTTATCTACAATCTGAGYTGGGCCGACTATCGCGTGTGTCATTTCAAAGTATCACTGCAAATTTGACTGGAGCTCGCAACCGCAAAACAAAATATACGCCGGAACGTGGTTGTGCGTGTCATTGAACATCAGCGAAGGGTGGGTAAAGACCGTTAATTGTGTATCCATTGAATTAGGGTTTATGTCGGATGGATAGCACTTTTAAACCTTGGTACAACCCACCCTGATCAGAGTAAAATTACTTCGTTRATGCTTGAAGTATTAAAAACCATTTAAGTTGTTTTAAATACAGCCTGATGAATGAATCTTTTAGAAATTTGCCATCATTTTTTTCTTCGTTATCGAATATGAATTGATTACCACATTAAAGAGAATTCTAAAAATCGTTAATGACGTCATAACATGGCGGCCAAAACACGGCGATCTCGGAGATTGAATTCCATGATTATTTTAAATAATATAAATGAACCTTAGAAACTGATTTTTTTTTCTTCTAATAAAGCAGTGTTTATTTGAATGTGAAATATCTCAGTCGAATATATGCTTGCCGAGAATGTGCTATATTAATTTAAGAGGTGTTGTTAATGACATTTTTTGTAAATGAAAGGTTTTCCACTTAACTAAATTAAATCCTAATGTTTTTTCTTAGTTTTACGGCGATTAACTTCTGTAAAWGTCACGTAAGATAGCGCGGAGACTAGCAGTTTCTATCTCTTTTGGTGTGATTATAGATATGCTATGCAGACCGTTGTCTCTCAGAGGCTTTTGTGCGATAAGTCATAATAATTTAATCTATGCTTGTAATAATTGATTTGAGCTAATCCTTGCTTTCAAATTCGTATAGTTTATAGATAAATGATGCTTAACACAGTCAAGTTGTGTGGTTGATTCTAGCAATGGGAATTATGGCGACTTCTTTTTTTGAAATTATTATCTTTCTTTMTTTATTTATTAATAATTTTATCCTTAATGTTCCCGACTAAAATGAGAGACAAGAAAGTGAAAGGAGTACACATAAGTAAAGAAAAAAATGAAAACCGGGAAATTGAAAGAAAACAAGAAATAAAAAGAAAATAATATGAATGAAGACTAAGCAAAAATTCAAGAAATGAAATATTTGAGATTTTCATAAGATCATGTAATGGTATAACAGCTACTTCGCTATTTAGGACACATTGTTAGCATATTTAAAAGCTTAATTGACATATTTACACTGTTTAGAAGGTTGYCAAGTTGTGGTGGTCTAAATCGAATACAATTACACCATCAATTTGTTGTGTACGGTATACACACTTAAATGCTCATACAGTTCTAAAGAAGGGATCACTTCTATATACCTCTGTCGGTTTGCACTGAAATATTTCTTTGCCGGTTTTCTTAATAATTGATCTTTTTCTACCAAGTTGGATCCTTGCGTATGAGTTCGATGTAGGAACGAGTTTTATTCACACCACTGCATTCTAGCTAGTAATTTGGCAGTTGCACAGCCCCCCTATGGTAAATTTGATAGGTTTTTCGCCAAACCCGCTACAAAATGGCAATCACTCAAATTATGATACAAATTAAAAGAATTCATTTGCATTTCAGTCACCTGTAAACTGAACTAACGTTTTTATAGTATTTTATACTTTTATACTAAGTGTACCATGTTGTAGTAATCTCATATTTCGTTCATGTGCAAGGACCACGAGGACAGGGCTGTTGACGAAACACTTCAGTTTTATAATCCAAAAGTCGAATTCTAATCYCGTTTGACGYCGTTCTTTCAAATAGAAATTTGCATGGAATAGCTCACACAATAGTTCTTAAATCTAGTTTACCATATTCTCAACCGTGATCTGTTAGGAATTTATTGAGCCAGTATAATTCAATCTCAAGCACTATCGCTCTTGACAAAAACCCACAAAAGTTGAGAAACTGCTCTCTCTGGGAAGACGGTCACGTGTGATGCAACAGTCGAGAATCCGCCGCGTTATTTTAAAAACAATGATGCGCTAATCAGTTTCAACTTGAAAAAAAAAATGAATAGCCATGGAAATAGGTAAATTGGTAATGTGTTGACATTATAATTTCTAATTTCTAGATGAAAGTGCTTGCAAGATCAAATGAATGACGAATAAGCGACCTAGGTTGAATTAAATTTTCTTTAAGATGCACATTTACACACATTTATCGAAAATTCATTTGAGAAATCCTTATAAAACGATTTGTGCATTATAATTACTGGAAATTTTAGTTAGCATGTTAATAAATCTTTAAAAAATAAAAACAAAATAAGGATCGTGTGATATCTAACTTCCTCGCTTATAGAGAGTTATATAGAGAAATTAAGGTACAACATGAAAATACGTTGTTGTGCGTCAACTCAAACATTTTTGAAAAGTAGTGGCGGCTTATAGCGAGTGCCCATCATATATAAGTCATGYTAGTCGTAAAAATTTAAACAGAAATTGGTTGGAACTGACAATAAGAAGCAGATAATTTCACTGCTCGGCTTAAAATTCGATCATATCTCGAGTAAATGTGTTAAAAATGTTAAAGTTAATCCATTAAGTTACTTTACCTAACTAAAAATCATTCGTGGTGATGTTCYTGTTTTGCCTTAGCTTCGTCTGTCCTTTTGTCGCATCCTTGGCGTAAACACACAGCTAGCCAACAACGTATTAAAATTTAAATAAAGCTCGTTGTGGAACAGCGAAACAGCTGTCAAAAGCAACTCAATACAAAATTCAGCATAATATCTCCAGCCTGTTTTAATATACATAAAAGAAAAAAAGACCACATCTCATAAATTATAGACGAACGGCCACTGAAGARAACTGCTACCCGAGAARCGGCAAAGACTAATGGCGACTATAGGAACTTTCTAAGAAAAGTCATAACAGTTAAGCAAACATCATTTCCTATTAACGAAAGGACAAAACTTGGCTGGGATATCGCTTTTAACTCACAATGTCACGGCGTTAAAGAAAATTTGATATCTGTCATCTTAATTTCGACAGAAAGGCTGATAATCCTTTGTTTTCTCGGGAAAATACCCGTTAAAACTTACACATTGCGAAAGGCTGTTTTATAGTTACCTGCATGGCACTATTGACACTGAAATAGGTTTGAACAAAAATCACTGAATTTGAGAGAATTACTAATATAAATCTACTTGTAGTTCTAMCAATCGCCTAGTCGGCTGCAACCAACTGAAGGGATGCATTGGTTCTTGTTGTACACAAACTCAAAAAAAATATTTCGCTTTAGTGGAAGTTTCATTTCTTTTTCTTTTGTGTACATTATTAGCTTGGATGTCAAAATTTTCTGACAAGCAAAAGGTTTGCTTGATTAAATAATTCATAATTTGATAGAACGAACGGCAAAGTAAAAATAACAATTCTCAGCAGTAGGCGAGAAATAAAGATATATAGCTTTGACCGTCGTGTAGGTAAAGATTTTCGTTTTTTTGTGGAAACAGTTAACAAACTCTTTAAAAAATTAAACAGGTGTTTTCAGATTTAAAAATCCTCTTGACTTGAAAATCGCAAGGCAATATCATAACTGAGCAATTTTTGAAGAGCGTAAGCAGGGATTGGTTAAATGGTCGGCATATAACACGATTGTCCTATTACTGTTTAATTTAATTACTTACGATTCACAATACCTTGCAAAGCTGGTAGCCCGATTGGTAGCCTAGGCTTTGAACACAAATACAAACCCAGCAAAGCTAATACTATGTTCACATTGAACAGTTTAATCATTACCCTATTCGCAGAAAGGACTTCATAACAAATCATGTCAAGCATTTTAGATTAAATAATATATCCRATTGGCAAAACATTGCTATCGACTTTACAGCAAACAACTGAGGATTCTGTGCCAAATATTTGTAATTTCGGAACTTTGTGTATAGATATACTGCACTTTATGGAAGTGAAGTAATTACCTGAGCAAATTTCAGAATTTKAAAGCTTTGTTCGCTCGGCGAGATGAAGAAATCTTGTCATCAAGTCAACCAGTTGTKGTTATCAAATGATACGGCTTCTTCCCGCCAATGTCTTTTCTAAATAAGTACATTCTAGCGGCGTGCTAGCCACAGTTAAAGAATGGTAACAGTTCTCCAATTGAAAAATAATGAAAGTTAGTTATTATAAGAAAACCGCCCTATATGGCTACGGCTAGCTTYTGGTTAGCTTTGGTGAGCATATTTTGTCTGGAGGAAAAGCTGCAATTTAAACCCGTTTAGCAAAATTTAGTCARCATAACACCATGAGTTAATTGAATGCTTCCCTTTATTCCATGAAAATACCCGAATTTCAGAAAAGTAAACTGATTTAAATTATCTATGAAAATTTTGTTAGATTTTCTGACAAAAAAACGTTTCGAAGCAGAGAGCTATGCACTCAAAATTACCGCAGGAGACGAGTGGGCGTAGCCCATCTATTCTACATGTAAACTGCAAATATTATAATTACAATCATCATCATCATCATCGTTATGAATTATTATACATGGGACTGATTAATTCACCATACAACTAGAAGATTTTTCAACATGTCAAAGTAATCCCAAAACACGGTTGACTCGCGAGAATAAAGACTGCTGTATAAAACTGAATAGATCTTCAGGCAGCTCTACATGCAGTAAAGCGAATTAAAATAGATAAAATATCCACCAATGAATATTGCCAAGAAACCATGGTTTCAGTCAAGCTGAGATTCCATGGGACACCAYCAACGAGAATACATAAAACACGAGCACGACAAAATTCAATCAATTGTGAATTGCAGGCTAAAAAAGGTCGAGGCGTACTTGTAAAAAATATCCATGATAAACATAGTTTATACAAAACATATTTTTTATAATTTCTTGATTTCTTGATTTCAAATTCATCAAAGAATTACAAAAATACTCTCTATAGAAATATTCATAACGCATGCCTACAYATAATTTTGTTGTACTAGGACAAGGGTAAAATTCAATTTCAATTTAGTAACCGATAATTAAACATATCTCACTACTAATATCAGTCTATAATCATTGTACGTTACTATTCAGCCCAGTCCACTGGATTGCGCAATACTTCTAGCAGTTCTTCCTCTCGACTCCCCTTCTCTGGAACATGCATGTACTCCCAACGAGCGGTCAGCGGTAGGGACATTAGAATACTTTCTATCCGAGACCCTGGCGTGTAAAGACCAAATTTTGTGCCTCTGTCRTAAACAAGATTGAACTCCACATATCTGAAAAGAAATTTCTTGTGTCAATGTAWTTCTTTTGCAGTGTATTTATTATCCCTATTGTTTCCTAATGTTACAGTGGGTTTAGCTCGCTATGCTATTATTTTGAGCTTTACACGTACAGAAGATAGGAAACTAGTCTTCCTTTCTTCATTGAAAAATGTAAAAATCACTTTTGCAGTTTTTGGTACAATTATCTCCTCGAGAAACTTTTCGCTTTTTCTTCCCTTGGGCTCCCTGTKTAAAGATCGCGGCATTRCACACGACGCCCAAGCCGGAGAAAAAGGAGCCTAACCGTCACTATCATTATCCATCGTTTACCTTCCCCGTCTTAAAAGCTGCCATTCACGTTCTTTTTCGGTGTAAGGATCGTCTTTATGCTGCTCTACAAGAGGTATATAAGCTGGGATCACAGCTGATGCACAAGCCTTGACAAACTGAAAAAGTTCTTCTTCAGAGGGCTTGTCCAGGTCATCAAAGAAAATTCCACCTATTCCTCTACATTCGCCTGAAAAAAGGACAACGCTCCATAAAAACCATTACTTAGTTTACATGAGTAAGACCAAGCCCAATTGACAA